CTTCGTCCAAGGCAGTTCTTGAGCGCATTCTTAACTGTCCGTATGACTCGCTCCCAGAAACCTCCCCACCACGGGGCTTGTTCAGCGATGAACTTCCAGTAGATTCGGTGGGTACTTGCGTGTTTTTCAATGGTCTCGCTGAGCAGAAATTGCAGTTGCTTTGAACAGCTGCGGAAAGTTTTGGCGTTATCCGAATAAACGGTAGGTGGGACGCCCTTCCTAGACGTAAATTGATGAAAGTCAGAACAAAATGAGTGGGCTGTCATGTCTGAGGTTCATTCTAAGTGCGCCGCTCGTGTCAACGCAAAGGGGGAAAACGTGAATAGAAAGTTTCACCGACTGTTGAGTAGAGTGGTAGTAGAGTAAGCCGCAAACGTCTACTCCCACGATGTCGAACGGTGACGCCTCCGTTATGCGGTCTTTCGGTAATGGAGCAATTGGGACCAACGCTGGATGCAAACGTCGGCGATGGCACGGCAAGCACGACTGAAGCACCTTCTTAACGGTTCGTTTCCTTTGAAATCCAAATCTTGATCGAAGGTCCAGCAGCGTAACATGAACGCTGGCTTGTAGAAGACAGACATGCGTCACGGATATCAGGAACCTCGTAAACACGTAGTCCTTTGCTATAGGATTGAGTGTTTAGGTTCCTCTGGCCCATCAAGTTCTTGTAAGCGGCCTGCAACTCTGAGGAACTCATCCTGGTCAATATCCGGCCTTAGTGTCAGAACACTGTAACCTGATTGAAAAGTCTCGCCCGCGCGACGTGTGGCGACTTCTGCTGGAAGGCAATTTCCTGGAGAAATCTGAGTCAGTTTTGTACTTCGTTATTCATTTCAAGGAACATCAGCGGCTCAGAGATGGATCGCTGGTTTCTGGGGGCGAAGCAAATGAACCTAGAAATCCAGGTAGTTACTCAGAGGAGCCTGGAGAAAAAGCTGTATTTCTGTAGGTCCCGTAGTAGTGTCGGTGGGTGTATGGCCTGAGCTGAGACTGCAGTTGGGCACACGGCCACCAGTTCGCTGTTGAGGTCCTGCATCGTCAGTGCAAGGTGAGAATTCAGAGGCCAGATGCCTTCTGGTTCGGCTCTAACCAAGGAGGTCCATTCCACAATTTTGTCTCTTGTATTGGAACCGCTGCGGATATTCCGTGCGTCAATAAGTCTGCTGGATTGTCTGCGCATGCGCAGTTCCACCAAGTGTAGCCTCGACTAAAGGTCTGAATCTCTTGCACACGGTTTCTAACGAAGGTCTCAAATTGGTGAGCATCGCCAGAGACCCAATGTAGTGCAATCATGGAATCCGTCCAGAATGAGTTGATCCAGAATGAGAACTTGGGCATTTCCTTGGTTTCATGCCATAACCTCGCCGCTAAAGGGCACGGAAGAAGCTCTAAAAGCGGTAGAGTGTTGCAAAGCGAGACTTGCTCATGAGCAGTCGCACTTCAAAACGGTCGTCTTCGGGTGGTCGGTGCACAACATGGCGACTCCATACGCATGAGGGCTGGCGTCAGCGAACTAGTGTACCGTAGCGCGTCCATGCTCTTGCGATATAACTGCGAGACAGCGTGTAACGCGGATGGTAGACAGAACATGCAGTTCTAAAACCCGCTTCTTTCATATTTCCTCAATGTCAAGTGAAAGATTGATTGATTGATTGATTGGTTGATTGATTGATTGATTGATTGATATGTGTGGTTTAACGTCCCAAAACCATAATAATAATATGAGAGACGCCTTAGTGGAGGGCTCCGGAAATTTAGACCACCTGGGGTTCTTTAACCAGCACCCAGATCTGAGCACACGAGCCTACAACATTTCCGCCTTCATCGGAAATGCTGCCGCCGCAGCCGGAATTCGAACCCGCGCCCTGCTCGAGTGGAAGAGGCTCGTCCCAGTCGATGTCTTCTCGCCATAGTCCATGGGACGGGATTCGTGCTGTCACGTCAAATGAAGTGACGAAGCCTAGCGGGTCGAAGAGTCTGGCGAAGGCTTGCAAAATGGTTCGCTTCGTCGATGGTTGGGTTGCAATAAATGTGAATACGGCTTGTGAAGTGATGGTGATGGGATCGGATGAACGATCCCAAAGTAGACCAAGCACCTTCGACTTGGAGCTCTGATCGTTAACATTCTCTAGTGAGAGGCCGTCCTTCAAGAACTGGGCGCAAAGAAGGTGGGAGTTTTAGCACCACTTTTGCAATTTCATTCCAGCGTTAGCAACAATGCCATTCGCTTCCCTGTAAATCTTCAGCTTCTCCTTTTCGGAAGACGCGGTATGAATAAGTCGTCAACGTAGGATGACCACTGCAGATTGGTGGCGGTGTCCACGTATTTCATCTTCCATGTTTCGAGGTGGTGCGGCAGGATTGATGACAGCAAGAACGGATGCATATCTGGAGTGATTCTTTTAGTATTTCTGAAGTAAGAGCAAACTTGCTGCTCCTAAACTGCAAGAGACACTGCATGAGTTGAGAGGCCGACTTGATGCCATTATTGAGCATGCTATTCAAACCAGGTGCTTTGTATTCATGCGACGAGGCGTTGAATACGACATGGACCTTGGCAGTCATGGGCTCTCGTTGGATTACTGCATGATGAGTCACGTGGTAGACGGTGTGTCCAAGAAGTGCTAACGGTGCTACGCTCTGCGCATGCCCTTTTTTAAAGCACTCAACGATGGTGGCAAAGTATTCCTGCAGAACATCTGGGTGATGCTCAAGCCGCTGAAGCTGATGCTTGAGCCATGTTTCAGACACGCTTTGGTTCATACACGATGTCAGACCTAGTGTCTTGATAATCAGCGGCGCCTCGTAGCATCCTCCACTCTTGCGTACCGTGGTACGAAAGTGGATGAGTGCTTGGTGCTTGCTGACATGACCTTGTCCGTACCATTGACCTTGACGTGACCTTGACCTCTTAAGTAGTGGTCTCAGCCGATCGAAACGCCTATTATAGAGATTTGGGGTTGGTCTCCTTGGGGTGCACCGGCAAATACCAGATTGCGGTCACGCATCATAGCGATAACGCTTGGCTCTAACATAGGACCATTAATGGTGCAGACCTCTGGCACCTCCAGAGCTTCAAGATCGACGTCGATAGGCTTCATACGTCAACAAAGCGTGACGTTTATTCTTCGCCACTGGTAATGGCGTGGATGATTTCAACCGCAGAACGTAAAGAAGTCCGCCTCTTCGATTCACAAGATAGGTGAAGCTGCTGCGATATGTCCTTACGGATAAACGTTCCTTGGCTACCGGTGTCAAGCAGCAGTTGCAATGGTACGCGCCCACTGGTTCCCAATGTCCAAACTGTGGCTGTTTTGAGCAACACAGACAACGAGTGCGTGCGGCTTGCAGAAACCGTTGTTACGTGCTTTTCTCACTGTGAGGTCACCTCTAGAAGTTAAGTTGCAGTCAACTGTTGACTATCGATTCCTCGGTGGCCCCAGATCTCACTGAGATGTGCCATCTGGAGCATCGGTCGCACTTAGGCCAGGGTGCGGTTCGGCAGCTGCGAGTAATGTGTCCTTGCTTCCCGCATCTGCACCAGCTGCTGTTGCAGGAAAGGCATTGACGCCTTTCCTCTGCTGATAGTGTGACTCGACAATTAAGCGTCATGTGTCCCGAGATGCCACAGAAGAGACATAAAGTCCGTTGAGACCTTGAATTCGAACTTGGCGATGATGACCGTGCGGTTAGTACTAATGCGGACGGCAGATAAGATGGCGTCACGGTGTTCGAAGTATTATTACAGTTCGGTGACGAGCTGGCTGAAGCGTGTTTCTCGCGTGAAGCGCGACTCTCCACTTTGCTTTCTACTTCAACATGAAACAACTTCAGGATTGCGTTTACTTGCTGGTCTCTCGACTGGACTACAGAGTCCGACGACAAGAACGGACTGGAAGACACTCCGAACGCAACCCGGGTCATGTGCCACTCGGCGATTGTCGGGACGGTATAGTCAGAAGACGGAAGTTGGTCAATCGACAGGAAACGAAGCACGTCTCTGTCTTCCGGTCGGATGCATATCTAGAGTATTTCCTTTAGTATATCTGCAGTAAGAGCACATTTACTGCTCTTAAACAGCAAGAGACACTGCAGGAGTTGAGAGGCCAACTTGATGCCTTTATTGAGCATGCTATTCAAAGCAGGTGCTTTGTATTCATGCGACGAGCCGTTGAATACGACACGGAGCTTGGCAGTCATGGGCTCTCGTTGGATTACTGCATGTTGAGGCACGTGGTAGACGGTGTGTCCAATAAGTGCTAATGGTGCTACGCTCTGCGCATGCCCTTTTTAAATCACTCGACGATGGTGGCAATGTATTCCTGCAGAACATCTGGGTGATGCTCAAGCCGCTGACGCTGATGCTTGAGCCATGTTTCAGACACGCTTCGGTTCATACACGACGTCAGACCTGGTGTCTTGATAATCAACGGCGTCTCGTAGCATCCTCCACTCTTGCGTACCGTGGTACGAAAGTGGATGAGTGCTTGGTGCTTGCTGACGTGACCTTTTGCGTCAGTGATACTGATGGCGTCCAAGCGCCAGATGTCTGATGGGTCTCGAGGTAGGACTTCAAGTGTTTCTCGCGTGAAGCGCGACTCTCCACTTTGCTTTCGACTTCAACATGAAGGAATTTCAGGATTGCGTTTACTTGCTGATCTCTCGACTGGACTACAGAGTCCGCCACATCTGTTTCAGTTTTCATGTGCCCTCCGTACTGAATCGCCAGCTACTTTGGCAATGCGTGCATCAGAGCCCATTGCGAAACTACTGCGTATTCGGAAGACAGCCCACCAAGGCTCTTCAAACAGCTGGTCTGAAAGTCTATCTGCTCGTACAGGTCCCGCAGCCTTGATACGTACAATTATCTTTCAGTTGGCTCGATAGCTAGAAGGTTGTCATTGTGGTCGTCTACGAGGACATTGTTTCGACAAAATCTTCCGGTGAAAACTTTGATGGCGATGTGCTTCTTCACTTCTGTAATGCGTATTTCTTCAATGGCCCTCTTCGCATCACCCGATAAGTTCGTCTTCAAGTACTTCAAGGTCACCTCGTACCCAAAACTTCTGCCCACTCACAGCTCCGCCGTTGAAGACGGGCACTTGAAGCTTCGGCAGCGCGACTCGCTAGCTTGGTACGCGTGGCCTGCTGTGATCGATGAGGGTTTGGCCGGTAGTGTCAGAGAGGAAAAGCTCCCATGAAGTGGCTCAATCCGTCGCTCGCACCCACATTCCTCGACTGGTTGGCCCTCAGGACAGTAGAGCCAACCGTTGCTCGGGCGTTCATTACAGATCGAAGCCTGCTGATGTCTTTCATGGCTTTCAGTCAAGAGCACCCTCAACTTCTACACCAAACTCTTCCCCGGCGAGGACGTCGGTAATCTGTTTATCCAGTTCGGCGAGAGCTGAATCTTTGTCACGGAGCCCGTCAACGATTTCGTGCAAGTTGGCGGTAGACGGTGATGTGTCTCACAGGATGACCTTTGTGGCCTCAGACAGAAGTCGAGTTCTGGCACCGCATTGATGCCGCGATGTCTGCGTAGTTTGTCCATGCTGAAAACGTCTCGGTGCTGAAGATGTCGGCCTTCTCCCGGGTTTCCGGCACCAATATATTGCGTCAAAGACGTGACGGACACCCGCGTTGCCATGGTTGAACGCTTTGTTTTTTTTCTTTATAGCGTGCCCACGTGCCCTCCGCCCTGCACTCGCTTCTTGGCGCGTCTGCTGCGCAACATAGCATTTCCCACCAACGTTTTCCGGTGGTAAACTTAACACTCTCTTTTTCCTTTCCCCAACCAAATGTAGCCAGGCATGTGCCTGGTTAGCCTTTCTGCCTGCTAAAATGTTTTTCTTCCTTCCCCCTTCAATGTGTCAGCATGCATATATCTCTGGTTTCCGAAAAAACTTCCAGATGGTAGTATACGCTTGTCCTTGTCATAACAAGTCACTGTCTTCGTTACGTACTCCCATGTCAAGGATCTTGAATAAAGCACTGACCGACTTATTCATTGTGCTAAAAATGCTTCGCACGCAGTACCATCAATGCCCCTTCACGTACCGCATGAAAGCGCTTCCGCCAGTAACGCATTGCGTATTCTCGCATGCTACTTGCCAACGTAGAAGCCATGCGCCACATGACATTCACACTCTATACCGAGCCAGACTTTCCAAACCATAGCACGATAACGTAAAGTTGCTCGGCCGTGTCGAGTAAAAAGCGTTGAAGGCATTGTACGGTGTTTTTAGTCGGAAAAACTGCTGCTGGAAACAAATTTTCAGAAAAAACTCAGCCCTCTATAACCCATGTATTTTGCATGCCAGCCAAGTATACTAGTGCAATCAGTGCTTCAAACTCCCTCACAATCAAGCACGAAAAAGCAACACAGACGTCACGTAACAAATAAAAAGTCTCTGACTCTGCAAGCTGTAGTAAATCGTTACTCTAATCATCCGGCTAGCACTACAGATCATATGCCTATCTTCGCAATGCAGCCCGCATTCCTTCGGGATGAAATTGATGCCTCAGCTCCAACTTAAACAGTAACGCCAATGATACGTCAAGCTGTGAGCTACCCTTACCATGTCAAAGTAGTCGTGGTGCCTGACAACCGCACTTTATGGGCGTAACTACTCTGATTACTGAAAGACGTAGACCGAAATTGTAACAGTTAACCCCAAGGAGAAAAAACCTTGAAAAGTTCTCAACCTTCGCCTTTAAAAGTTGAACGCTATAGCGATAATCTGTTCCTAGTCCATACTTTAAACACTTAGTGTATGAAATCTTTTTGAACTTGCTGTGCACACACTCCGTGGCCTTGAGAATGCAGTAGCGTGTATGCTTTTTGTAGTGGGTGACCCTTTAAACTACGAAGTCATTGTAATTCCATGTTCTGGCAACTCATGGCCATGTACCGCAGTACCACACATTATTACGGCAGCTTCACTTTGTAAATTGAAATATGTACACAGGAAACGTGTAGTTGTAAAGCACGAAAGTTACTTTCGCTGCATTTCCAAGCTGAGGAAAGTATTTTCACAGTATTTGCAAGCAGAGGTGTGGCTGTGTGGTAGAACACCCGCCTGCCACGATAACGACCCGGGTTCGACAATCGCTCAGACGCAGAATGTTTCATATTGTTTGCGTCTTTCTGAATTTACAGGTCACGCAAAAATGGACAATTTTTCTGCCACGCAAAAAATGGAAATTTTTCGCTCAGAACAGAGATGGTCGTACTGTACCTAGGGTAGACGCCATCAAGGTCCTCGGCATCATCATCGAGTCCCGCGGAACCAACATCCAAACGGTACACAAGCTCAGGACAAAGACTGAGAATGTCATACGACTCCTACGTAGAGTAGACAACAGGCACCACGGCCTCAAAGAAGACAACCTGCTGCGTCTCGTAAACGCGTTTGTTTTGTGCCATTTTACCTACGTTGCCGCTATACACAAATGGCTACATGCTGAGCGCGATCACCTCAATGCGCTTATTCACAAAGTTGTCAAACGAACCCTTGGCCTTCCTATCACCACTCCAACGCACTAACTCCTCGAGCTTGGCGTACATAACACGCTAGCAGAGATCCCCAAAGCTCAGGAACACATGCAATTGACCCAACTCACCACCACCAAGGTTGGCCGCCATATTATGCGAGAGCTCGGCTTCTTCTCCTCGAGGGCCAGGAACCCACCAAAGTTGACTCTAATTCCCCGTGAAATCCGTGACTTTATCACGATCGCTCCCATTTCGCGAAATGTACACCCTGAATACAACAGAGGCAGGCGCCTTGCGCGGGTGACCACCATTTTCATGCGCATAGACATGGAAGCAGACAACGCCTCGTTCGAGGACGCCACTGCCTATCACAACAACCAAGCCTTCGCCACGGTCACGGTATCATCCGCGCAGAAGACTCTTAACTCTGCCACAATCTTCACCCAAAACCCTGAAGTAGCGGAGCAAGTAGCTATAGCTATAGCTATGGTTTAATTGATTTGTGGGGTTTGACGTCCCAAAACCGCCATATGATTATGAGAAACGCCGTTGTGAAGGGCTCCGGAAATTTCGATAACCTGGGGCTCTTTAACGTGTACCTAATTCTGAGCACACGGGCCTACAACATTTTCGCCTCCATCGGAAATGCAGCCGCCGCAGCCGGGATTCACACCCGCGACCAGCGGGTCAGCAGCCAAGTACCTTAGCCTTTAGACCACCGTGGCGGGGCAGCTATAGCTATGCTAGACAGCAAACAGGAACTCATCTACAGCGACTCCAGACAAGCCATCAAAGCCTTCGAACGCGGATTCATCTCTGACCAGGCGTTACGTATCCTGCGCAAAGCAGACCCCAGTGCCCTGAAAAGCCACACTGTCATCTGGTTCCGCGCCCATCTCGGCCACGTGCCGAGTGCCCTATCCAACCTCAACTAGATTACCCATGATGCAACACGTGCACTTAGCGACCGCACCACCACAGAATAACCCCATCTTCCGTAGTTAAAGACCAACCGGGATGCTCCCATTACGTACATTCACAAAACAAAGCACTTTAATCTTGAGCGCCACATTTTCCCACTCCCCCCCCCCCATCTGAAACTTAATACATCGCAGGCATTAACCCTACGCCTCTTACAGACACACACGTAACCAAACCTTGCCCGCTTCACGTTTATTATCCTGATGCATACCCAGCGACACATGCCCATCATGTGAACACACTGCGACACTCGCACATATGCTCTGAGAGTGAAGAACAACTCCTCCCCACGCTACCTCAAACAACTGGGAGAGGTCTCTCAGGAGCTCAGTTCTCGCCGACCAGCATAGGGCCGTCCAGCAGGCCCACGAAGCGCCCGCCAGGTACTCCCTTTTGGTCCCTACGTTGGAGATGCCCGCTATGCGCTAAGCGTGTCCTGCAGAACTAAAATAAAGTTTTTTTTAATTGCATTCCAGTCCAACCAATGATGCCGACGACGACGCCGACGCCAATGTCGGAATTTCTGCGCAACGAGCTCCCAACGCTATCGCCTTAAAACAGCAGTGTTGTAATGTTCTTTCAATGTGCAGCCCGAAAAACAATCAAGTGTTTTTTTTTAGCAGTGCATTGCCATTTGACGAAACGTGCACAAGAAACTCTGTATTGCGGTGATTGCTGTTCTTTAGACACATCAATGAAACGTTACTTGGGCAATTTGTTAATAGGAGCTAGCTGCTTCTTCTGTCTTTCTTGCTTCGCTCTTATGCGCTGATGCAATTTGCTTCGGCAATCACGCCGTCAACATAAGGCATCACAAGCGTGCGTAGGTGACGCATCCACGTCAGTGTGACGTTACCTAATAAGTCTATCAAGTCTAAATTGCGATAATATTCTTCAGCATCATCAGCTCTTAGTGCGACAGCAAACGCGCGAGTGTCGCCGACGTCCACAACTCGAGTAGAAAGGAGACGCGCCGTTGTTCTCTCGCTATGTAAAAGTGCCAGAAGGTGTCTCGGAGTATGACCAACGTAATTCGGGCAACAGCTCAAGCATTGACCGTGTGAGCGTGGTCGCCGAGCGCGCATTATGTAAGGAAAAGAACGTCGTTGATGCCCTTCCGCGTCCTATGCTTTCTTGTGTTTTCGCTAAAGCAATTAACAGCATGAATGTACCCTCATTCGATTAAGTGACGCTGTTGCGTTGTTTTTCTGTTTATTTCAGTTACGCTCATTCTAATGATACAGTATCTGGCTCCTCCCATACCTAATATTGCAATCCAATTTGTTGCGATCGAATTCATTGCTTCAAGCGAATGGTTTTTTCCCGGTAGAGACTTAGTTCACTCATAAGGCAAAAATGGCACTGGTGTGTTGTCATTCCTATAACTTCTGGATTTTCTAAATGTAGCAAAATATTTACGCTACGTCATGCTATGATATAACACGATAATTTCCGCGTAGCTAACTGGGTTACAAAAGCACCTCATTCGAAAAGTTGAGTTCACCTGTCCCGGTCAGGCATTTCCACAAGATAGCTTGGCGCATTGGCCACGTGTATTTGAAGTTCAATCAAAATGAGACAATATCGTCGATTGATTGTAGGCAGTTCAGTTTATATATAAAATTCGCAAGATTTTAGCTGTGTTTAGTAACTATCCATTGTGTTCCGCTTGGGTAAAACGGTAAAGTTTCCTCAAAATATCTGTGATACACCTCTCTTTCAGTCGCTCAGTATCGGATGTGCTACGGCTGGAAAACCCTATAAATGCTACTAGCTGCGAATAAAACTTGCAATAAAGATTTCATTGGTTCTCGTTGTAGAGCACACATGCCGAAAAATGTGATCGTCCAATATAATATAGATGCCTCGAAATAAGCCCATGCGAGTTTAAATAATGCCGTCTTGATGATCTCCACGAGTTATGAAAATGGTAGTTTTTTTAGGAATATATGAAGCACAACTGCTCATTAAAAAGCATATTTCTTCTTTTAGCAGTATCCATGCCGCCTTTTTATAGGCGCCGACGTTTCTTACTGGTCAGAACTTCAAACCCGCCATACACAAAAAGTCGCCTAGAACGTGCTTTTAACAATTATATGCAGTCTTTCCTGATAACCTTGTTAAACGCAAGGCTAATCATTAGCCAATGACTTAATCTGCACATTTTTGCCGCTAATATTTCTAAAAGGCTAGTTATTATTTGAGTGTCTGCGAAAATTTTCACGTATCTCTTTTGTGTGTTCTTTATTTTGCAGTAGTAGTTGTTTCTTCGTTATGGTCGTCACAGTTCTAGATTCAAATGTTTGTTGCCGTCACTACGTCGAGACAATACTGCGTCACAACAGCACTCACTCCTGAAGACACATTTTTTTCTCTCGTACGAAAAACCTTTCAGCTGTGATTTGCAAAGTCACTTTTCGAGAAGCCGCATGGTAGCAATGTGTGACAGTTTTGGCGCCAGCGCAGTAGTGCCCCAAAAGTAAATGCTTCACCAAAATTTTGAACGCACGCTGCTTTTCCTTGGTTTTATCTCGATTCGTTGAAAGAGTTTACACCACGGCTGCCTAATAGCTTTACGTAAACAAAGCTGAACTGCCATTGAAAAGCCAAATACGGTGCGAAGTGAAATCACGTTAGGATGAATGGTTGTGACCAGATTCAAATAACATCATAATTCTGGCACTTTTTCTACGACGTACAGTAAATAGGCATCCCTCTTGACGTACCTGCTCTTGTGAGAAATGTTTGCTCTCTTAAATAGATCCGTTCAAGTTCAGCGTTCACGCCTGGGGTATGTTTATTTAGTAAGGAGATATTTATCACAATAGAAAAAAGTTACAAAGAGTGCTGTTTTAGGATGTCAAGCGCAAGCAAAAGGTGAAGACCATAGCTTTTTCCGTATTGAGAATAGAGCTGAAATAACCACGGCCACTTCGGTGGCGCTGTTTAGCAATGATCGCCATCAACTCCACTTTTTCACCATCGTAAACAGCATTCTATGCGCATGAACCATGAAAAATTACTCGTGTGCATGGGCCTCCAAAATAGTTTCTATATTTTAGGTCATCCAACGACGTGGGCAGTACGGACACAATGCTTACTACTTCTACCGGAACTGGACTGAGTACGCCAATGGATTCGGAGATCCTGATGATGAGTACTGGATTGGTAAGAGACGAAGACTCAGTTGAGCGACAGAAAAATAAGGTGGCCCTCAGGAAATTGTTCGGCTTTGAATCCACTACGACAGCAGTTTTATAGTGATGAACATAGCTCACTAGTAGTGTAGCCACGCCGCTGACCCTTGAGGGTGGTCTATGAACCAGGTGACACTTGCCTAATGTCACAATATAACGGTATAGGAACAATTAATATGTGCATAACAATAAGAAGGAAGCTTTATAAGTAACCCCAATGCATGAGAAACGAATTATTTAGCCCCCTTTTATTTTGCAATTTCAGATCTAATTCACAGTATGATTGAATTATATTACTAAATAAATTAGTCCCATTGCAACAAAATTCATCAATGTGAAGTGTTTCAGAGGAGACTAAATACGCACTTATTTACAGTTAAGGGCATCTTCAGACATATGACTACAATCATTTCATGTTTCATTTGCCCCCTACCTACAGCGACTTGTCTTTTCGTCCACCTTCATTTTTTTATCTTATAAACCATGCCACCATGGTGCAAATAAAAAACAACAAATTATGTGTCGTAAGTTTTCTTTGCCGCCACAAATTGTTTGTTTCATAGGGCTGCGTATAAAAGAAATAGAAAACCCTAATTGATTTCATTTGTTGTAATACCCCATTTTCACTGGATAAAGAGCTGATTTAAGGTTGATACAGTTTTCAAACTGATGCGATGTTATGCTCGCTGCTGCCGCTGCAGTGGTTAGACTTTTATCGTTCTCAAAATGCATGAAGCTTTGTTTGCAGCAGTAGTAGCAGTGGTGTTAGCAACTACCAAGCGTTATAGAGATTCGCCATCACCATTCTCTAAAGTCTGCGGTAGTCGTTGCAGTCAACAAATTACTACAACAACATTCATACTGTTTTGTTACCCTGCCGACATATAGTTGCGTATGTCTGGCGTTATTCTATAAGGATTGAATACCTCATGCTTTGCGGCAATAATTTCTTTTCTCGCTCACAGGTAACAAAGCTCTGCACGCCCTTACGTCAGAGAAAGAGAACATGAGTCTGCGAATTGTACTAAGTAACAGCACTGAAGAGACTGTGTCCTTTGGCTACGAGACTTTCGCAGTAGCAAATGAAACGCAGTCCTTTCAACTTCAGTTGGAAAGTTTCTCGGGTAGCGAAGGTAAGTACCCTCAGCACGTGTGAGTGGAATAACGCTTTCTTTATACTAAGACGATAGTTATAGCGCGAGACCAAAACGACGACACAGAGACAAGAAGGACACGAAAAACACGAGCGCGAAAGACACGAGACATGTGGTGCTTGTTATGTCGGAACGACCGGAAGGTGTCTGAACGATCGGCTGAGAGAGCACGCGAACAATGTTAGAAACGGGAAAGATGGTTTTCTTACCCAGCACTGCACTGAGTGCAATTGTGTTTACCTCTTCGAGGACACAGTGACGCTGTACAAGATAGCGCTCGTGTCTTTCGTGTCCTTCTTGTCTCTGTGTCGTCGTTTTGGTCTCGCGCTATAACTTTCGTCATGCCATACCAACTACCCCAAGCTGCCACACTTCTAAATTTATACTAAGCCTGCGTGCGCAGATATTTATTAGGGGAATCCGCCACTTCGTGTGACTGGGCTAAAACTTCGACACACGAGGTGTCGAACATTTAAAATTGCTTTAAGACACATCGCCCCTACAGACTATGCATCCAAATACTTGTGAAAAACTTATACTCTGTAATTATCTGAACGATTCGCATCTGCAAAGTTTACCAGTTGGTTAGAGCTTTCCTATTTACGTTGCGTTTGTCTAGCATGGGCACGGTGTCTTTCATCTGTCTAGCGTTGGTCAACGCCTAGAATCTCTTCGTGGCAAGCGCCATATGTGGCTACTGAAAGGCCTCTTTGACACCAAATTTTCAACAATGAAAGTTTTTCTGGTGTGGGCACCATTCCTTCATGTAAGCTTTACATGTATAAGCTTTACAAGTATGGCTAAGCACTCTTTTTCGGTAACACTGTAGTTTACCTCAGCCTTGTTGAGCGTTCTGCTGGCGTAGGCGACGACATACTCAGGGGATCCAGGCTTGCGTTGAGCGAGAACTGCACCGAGACCGACACCGCTGGCGTCTGTATGGATTTCAGTTGCAGCCGTGGGATCATAGTGGCGCATTATAGGCGGTGATGTCAGGAGACGGCGAAGAGTGGTAAATGCGTGATCACATTCGGAACACCATGATGAGATGTCGTTGGCACTGCTTAAAAGTTGGGTCAAAGGGGCAATTATGGAGGCAAAGTTGCGCACAAACCGACGAAAGTAGGAGCACAATCCTACGAAGCTGCGTAACTGTTTTACAGTCGTTGGTTTGGGGAATTCAGCAACAGTGCGTAGTTCAGCCGGGTCGGGAAGAACACCATCCTTTGATACGACGTGACCGAGAATGGTGAGCGTCCGAGCAGCGAAGTGGCATTTCTTTAGATTCAGTTGGAGCTGCGCATTCTTCAGACACGTGAGGACATGTTTCAGGCGTACAAGGTGTGTTGCGAAATCGGGTGCAAAGACGACGATATCGTCGAGGTAGCAGAGGCATATGTTCCATTTCAAACCCCGCAGAACCGAGTCCATCATGCGCTCGAATGTGGCCGGCGCATTGCAGAGGCCGAAGGGCATGACATTGAACTCATATAGCCCGTCCGGTGTCACGAATGCTGTTTTTGGACGATCACCATCTGCTAAGGGCACCTGCCAATACCCCGAACGCAAATCTAACGACGAAAAAAACTCGGCACCTTGTAAGCAATCAAGGGCGTCATCAATCCTGGGCAAAGGGTATACGTCTTTGCGAGTGATCTTATTTAAGCGCCTGTAATCAACGCAGAAGCGAATTGCACCATCCTTCTTTTTAACAAGAACGACAGGGGATGCCCATGGACTTTGGGAAGGTCGGATAACGTCGCGCTTGAGCATATCGTCAACGTGTTCGGTGATAACCTGACGTTCTGTGGCGGAAACACGGTATGGTCGCTGTCGTACTGGCGCGTTGGAACCTGTGTCGATGCGGTGGAAAAAACTGGGAGTTCAGCCAAGGGTAGGTTGAGCAACGTCAAAGAATTCAAGAAACTGGTAGAGCAGCTGAAGGAGCTCAGAGCATTCAGATGGCGATAATCCGTCGGCAATCGATGAATCGAAAAGCTCGCAAGGTGGTATATTGGAAGGGTTGAGGGCACTTATGGCGTCGTAGTCACCGGAACAATCTGGCGGCATGGTAAAAATTTGTTCTTTATCAATGGCATGCACGTGTCCAAGAGATTCACCTTGAAACAGTTCAACGGGATACGGAAGGGGATTGATGAGGCAAAGAGCACTGTTTCCTTCAGAAACAGGGAGGGTTGAATAAGGCAGAAGAAGTGATCTTCGACTAAGGAAGAGGCTTGATGGCTCAAAGAATGCAGCTTCGTTCCTAATGCCGTCACAGAACACGGGGAGCAACACAGCTGCTGTCGGAGGAATTTCAGTGCCTTCTTTGACGACGAGTTTGTGTACGGCAGGCTGAATATGGCTGGTTGGTTGGTCGTAAAACGGGAAAAGTTCAAGCTCCGATCTTCCACAATCAATAACGGCATGGTTACGCGATAAAAAATCCCATCCAAGTATGATGTCGTGTGAGCATGACGACAGGACAATAAACTCAACAGTGTAGTGGTCATTCGCGATCATCAGTCGGACAGTACAGGCGGCTACAGGCTGAACCGGGTCCCCATTCGCTGTTTGCAAGGACATCATATTAAGAGGCGTCGTCACTTTACGGAGCTTGCGGCAAAGTTTAGCGTCTATCACGGAAACGGCAGCACCACTATCCACTAGAGCATATGCTCGAGTACCTTCTACAAAAACTTCGACAATATTCGACGGCAATGTCCGAGGACTTGAGCATTTCGACAGCGCAGTTCTTGCCTCCTGAACTGCGGCGGTTAGTTTCCCTCGTGTTCATGAGCTGGCCGACGACGCATGGGTGACAGGGAGCGACGACGGGGTGAAGGTGAGCGACCAGACATAGTACGCGGACATTCCCGTAAAGACGAGCTTGACTGAGGGTCAGAATTTTCTAGACGGGATGGAGAAAGGTCCATGAAGCTGTTCTGTGTCCGGGCGTCTGTGTATCCCGGCACGCGACGACGGCAGTAACGGGCGATATGGCCAGGGCCGCCGCACGCAAAACAGATGGGCCGGTTATCGCGCGTTCTCCAAGTATTGGCGACGAGGGGACCAGTCCATGCGGCAGACGGGTGTGTCGAGGCTGTGGTGGCAATGGGAGGAACCCAGGCGGTGGACGGCTGAGTCGGGGCTGAGGTATACGGCAGTCCCTGGAACGACGGGGGGTGGTGTCGCTGCTGCCGCTTTAGTGCCTCAGCGTAAGTAAGAGGCGCGGTGACGGTGGGCTGCTGCAAGGGCACCGGCATAGCCTCGGAAATCTGCTCCTGGACCACATGTCGGAGCATGGGAGCCAATGGTGGTGGGTGTCGCAGTGGCTGTTGGTGCGAGAGCTCCTGGCGTTGAGCAAAAGGCAGCAGAGAAAGCTGCCGAGCCACTTCCTCTCGCACGAAGTCTTTCATTTGTGCGAGAAGGTTTGCCTGGTCAGCCATAGCGTCCAGTGTGGTCACTGGTTGGATTGTCTGGAATGAGCGTCGCGTCTGAGCTCGTTGCCTCAGCAATTCATCATAGCTTGGCACAAAGTCACTACTTCTGCCACAGTGCTTGGAGACTTCACGAGAAGCATCTGGAAAACGTCATCGTCGACGCCCTTCATAATGTGCTGTATCTTCGCACTTTTGCTCATGGAAGCATCGACGCGCCGGCAGAGATCAATCACATCTTCTATATATGATGTGAAAGTTTCACCTCGCTCCTGTGCCCGTGTGCGCAGACGTTGTTCGGCGCGTAGCTTCCGTAAGGCAGGACGACCAAAAACGGCACGTATTGCCTCCTTGAAGGCGGACCAATTCGCGAATTCGGTTTCGTGGTTCGTATACCACAGCTTGGCCACGTCGGTGAGATAAAAATTGACAGTGCCAGCTTAGCAGCGTCATCCCACCTGTTGGGTCCACTGACTTTCTCGTATGACGACAGCCAGTCCTCGACGTCCTGGTCTTCGGTGCCGGCAAAGATCGGGGGGTCTCGCTGATGAACCGGGCCGGGGCAAGTAGGGGCCACGAGAGGTATTGTTTGTTGGGCAGCGTCTACTTGCATGGTCGACGGCAGGGTGCGAGATCGGAGTTCCAGGTTGTAGGCGATGTGGTTACCCAGCACGATCCACCAAATGTAAAGAGGTTTATTGGGCGAACCAAACGGGCAGGCGGGAGATTGCAGATAGCGACAGGACGAGGAAGATGGAGTAGCTCGAGCGCCGATCTCGTGGTGCCTTACTCTGCGATGATGCTTGCTGTTTCCTTTTGTTATCATCATTCCTTCATTATACATGTAACACTGGAGAGGTTTTATGCCCCTACGCGGTGGTGTAGTGGATAAGGTACTCAGCTGCTGACCCGCAGGTCATGGGATCGAACCCCGGGTGCGACGGCTGCATTCCCGATGGAAGCGGGAATGTTCTACGCCCGTGTTCTTAGGTTTGAGTGCACGTTAAAGAGCCCCAGGTGGTCAAAATTTCCGGAACCGTCTACAACTGCGTCTCTCATTATGGACGTTGAACCTCTCTCGATATGGACGTTGAACCTCACATATCTGTCTATTTGGAGATATTTTACGCCTAAAATGATCACGTTAAGCAAATGTATAGGACCTTTCAGAGTTTTTACGAATGATTTTACCGTAATAAGCGCAGGAAGCACCAGCAGAATGGTCGTTGAATACGACTCATCTTTGGATAAACCATAAGAACAGTGAGCTTGTTTACTAGATGCGAAGCAGCTAATAGTTTAGCTGAATGTGTTGTGTGTGGCGATATTCACGGCGCATGCGCAGAAGTTGTCCCAAGCAATGGCAGAACGCGCTCACGCGCAGCGTGTTCGAACCTGCGTAAATGTCTGTGTAAGTGGCTGTGGCCTCTCCTTTACACTCTGTAAGCAGGCACCTGATGACGTCGGAGAACGAGATTCTGCAGGCGCGCGATCAACGCACAGGCTCCCGTGTGGCGTACTCCAACAAAAGTTCGGCAT